GATTGGCTAATAATCACATGTAGATCTACAAATTGATCTACGAAACTAGCCAATTAGACGAATTTCAGCCCATGAGTGTAAGATTCAAGTTTGGGATGACGCAGTTCACAATGAAAAGCTGTAAACTAATTTGTTAAAATAACATTATCAACATCTAATAATCATTTAATTAAAAAAAGAAACATTCATTTAAGCATATATAATGTAAGTATGCTTTATATTTCTCTAGATTATTGTAAATTATAAGATCCCCCTTCCTAGGCTTAACTGGCCTTTAGGTCGGCGAGTTTGTTTGGGTTCCAATGTTTTTTTAAAATTTATTTGTAAGATTTATACAGTATCAGATTTGGATTTAAAAATTATTTTGTAGCCAGAATAGGATAATGAAATTGAATCTGGTAAATTAATAATTTTTGTATTTGATCTTAATAAAGCGTTTTTTAAAGTTTAAAATAGGTTAAAATTTAAATTTAGAATCAAGGTCTTAAAAAAATATTAAAATTTTACAATAGGAAGCAGGGATGGCACGTCACAATGTCCAATTGGTTTCAAATTTTTTTGGACATATGTCCAATTGAAACTGGGCATATGTCTAAAAAAAAAAAATTGAAACCAATTGGACATTGTGACGTGCCATCCTTGATAGGAAGAACTCATTGGATAACAAAATTTGTATTTTGTCAAAATGAATTTATTATACGATAAAAATCCTGCTTCTTGATATTTACTTTTAATAGAAATATCTTGAAACATCAAGTAATTAAATACCTAAAGATTTTATTGTTAATCGAATTGTCTCATTTAGGCAATTCAAATAATCATTGTTAATTTAATAATTTTAAAAGTAAATATTCAAAAAAAAATGATTTACAGGTTTTCCTTGCCCGTCACTAATGTATTATCATAATTTAAGTCTACTAAATTCAAGCTGTATTTTAAATACTTTTTTTTGATAATTATGAAATGCCAAGGGAAAACCAAATCTTATTTAATAAGATTTGAGGGGCTACCCATCTTACCCAGGATCGCCAACAAAAATTCACGCTCATGTGATATGCGATAAAATTCTTTAAAGTTTATTTATGTATAGTTAGGGTTTGTATGAGGATTAGAATGTGCTAATCAGAACCGGTAATACTAATTGAATAATTAGTGCATAACCAACTTATGTAAATCTTATGAAAATCTTAATCATTTGAACTTACTAAATGAATGTTAAATGTTAGGAATCGAAACCGCATAAAGTATTTGGTAATTAATCATAATTGATCATTTCCGGTACTAATACCATTCCGTTCCTCCACCATTTCACTATCGGAGAACTACAAAATTGATTAATAACACAGAGACTCCGATATGTGAATAATTAGTAGAACCAAACAGAAGTGGAGAGGGAAATTAGTAAATTCCTATTGAGGATGATTTTGGGTTACATAATACTAAGCTAAAATTGGTTATTATCATAATTTTTAGTTTTGTTATATCCAATCCGGAAAACATTCACTATATCCAATCTAGATAATATAAAAGTTTCAAAGGTTTTTTACTTGGTGTCCGATCATTTCAAAAAATCATGAATCAAAAATTTATTTATTTATTAATTTTATTATCATTTTCTATGGTCAATGCTGATGATTCCGTATGCTGCAACTATGAATCTACAATATACGGACCTCCAATGAAAGTGTCAACGACCCCTCTTATTGCTGGACAGAAGAATATCATGCTTAATATTACTGGTGTATTTGAGCAAGATATCATTACAGAAACCAAAGTTTATATTGAATTAGTCGCTAATGATTATTCTTCTTCTGAACACTCTGCCCCTACTGTGTATTCTGATAATCTGCAAATTTGTAAAAACAACGTTCCGTGTCCAGTCCCGGCTGGAAAATACGTTGAAGTATTGGTGGCACTTAAAATACCGGATGATATCGCCGTTCAAAATCTTGATATTTTATCTTATATTGGATATGTAGCCAATAATAATGTTTTTGTTATTTACGGCTGTTCCGGAAAGTGGTCTTCCTAGTAGTGAATTGCAATGATAAATTGAGATATTGTAGAAAGATTTATATATATTACCTTCCAATCTATCATTTAATCCGTCGTTGATGTTAACAGAACATACTCATGCATCATTTAAATTTTTACAATCATATGCATGGATTTTTTTCTTTTTTAATCTTTTTATATGTGGTAGTATTATTGGCATAAATAAAGCTATATCCAATATATTTATATTTTTTTAACTTTCCACATTAACATATTATTGTTTCTTATAACATTTTTGTATATAACTTTCAATAAAATTTAACACCATTCTAACTTAACAATAATAAAAGGAAATCAGTGACAAGTCTGAACAGTAAAGTCGTCCACTCCGCTTTGGAAAATTAAAGCTTTTTTTTTTTTAGATTTATCTCATTTTAAGTATATAATTAATACTTTTTATGCTACTATTCATGAATTTGTGTTTGTAGTCGGTTAGAAAAGACGTGTTATCAAGACAAAAGGAAAGCAACTCTAGCCATGGCATACGATTTAGACGAGATTTATCGATATCACTATTGCAATAGCCGAAGAATGCAATGCAGGATAAGTAGATAAACTATCTGGATGTGCTAAGTGGATATTCGATTATCTAGATCAAAGAACTAATTTGGATAGCTTATTAAGTAAATGTAAGTAGCATACAATGGTAGCAATTGTTGATAATTCTGTTTTACTTAATTAAAATCAAAAAATTTAAGATTTTGAATTTTCGCTCTTTTAATTAAATAGTGCTTAAACAATATTTTGGTCTTACTCCGTTTAGTTTCACTTTATTACAATTTTTATATCATATTTCAGAGAGACATTCTCAATCAAGGATGGCATGTCACTATGTCCAATTGGGATCAATTTTTTTTGGACATATCAATATGTCCAATTTCAATTGGACATATGTTCAAAAAAATTGAAACCACCAATTGGACATTGTGACATGCCATCCCTGTTCTCAACAACATCTTTTCTATATTATATCTCTCGGCCTCACTTCGCTCTCTCTCTAAACTAAAACTTCATTTATTACATTATACTTCAGAGTCAAGTTTATTGATCACATTTAAATATAGGTAGAATAAATAAAAGGTAATTTTTTAGAATTTATTTAGTATTCACCAGAGGAGAAATTCATCATGGTATGTTTTTAAATTATTATTATATGATTTATAAAAAATTTTACTACAAATATTTTATAGCTAAAATTAAACTTTAGGGTTAGGATTCAGGGTTTGAATTAGAGGGAAGGGTTTTTATAGGGTGCTGAACATTTTTACTTAGTATTCCAAATACCGATTATCAAGGCGTTTTCGAGAAGCAACATATCCGGTGAATTTTACCTCCGGTGAACATTAAAATCGTCTAATTTTTTAATATTTCATCTGGCTTTAACATTTAAGCGTGATTTTAGTTGCTATGTATTTATAAAAATGACTCTCAGAATTACAAAGAAATTTTAATTGTAGATCTAACAAAATGATGGATGTATCCTATCCAATTTTACCTATTTTTCACTTTCTTCTTTAGGAGATCAATATCGATTGACAATCAAAATATAAAATTTAAATTTTTACGAAGCAAACAATAAGGAAATTAGAAACTGGTCAGAAATATAAAATGGAAAAGGCTGATACAGTCTAGTTTCCATAAGTGTAATAATCATTGATGTCATATACCAATATTTGACAAAAGGATAATACTTGCAATCTCGGAAATCTCGGCACTCATGAGCGTAAAATGTGCAACCACCACAAGATCAAGCGCAACATAAATCAAAACAAAAATACACTAAAATCCTAACACTAAGGTTCATAACCAATACCCATCGCACCATTTGTTATCATAGTTTCACTTTACAGGGTCATTGGAAATTAATAATGATTATTGTGCATACCTACAAACTCTGAATCCAAAATGTACATTTTACACCAATGTTACTGTAGATCAGGTTTATATAATAAACACTTTGAAATCTGTGCATCAATAATTTTAATGTTTTTTTTTCTTGAGTACAAAATTTGTTACATACCATGGATTTTGTAATTAAAGACTTACATCATTTATTATAAAATGAATCATTTTGTACGTCAGGCAGTTGTACAACGGCAGTAAATATACCTGATATATATCCTATAATTAAAAATATTTTAAACAAAATATTTATAGTTAAATTATAATGATTATTATTTGATTGCATAGTTGTTACGTATTATTGATTTTAATGATATTATATAAAATTATTTTTAACTTCCTAAATTACAATTTTAAAATTTGATGAGCCAATTATTATAATATACTTGTGAAGGGACACTAATTTCTCAAGATGTTAACACTAAGATTATCGTTATAGTGTCTACATTTTCTCACCGGTAACTTGTTCTATCAAGTTTATGCAATTGCATATACATTACTTAGGGAAACTTACATGAATTAAGCTAAATACTATAAAGGTAAGATTAATATAGCTATGGTAATACTGTACATAAAAATCCCTAACCAAAATTATATAAAAAATAGGTTCTATTGATCAGATGATGTTTTTTCGTGCTGGTCCGGAACAATCAAATTTAAAATTTCCGATTGGTTAATTCAAGCCTACATTATAAAGCTGACCAGAATTATGCCAGCTGGCCTGAATTATAAAAATTACACTGCGCAGCCTCTCAAAATGCTGCGCAGTGTCCCATCCCTACTCAAGACATATTCATCATGAGCCACAAAAAGGAAATTGCCATTAAAAGATTTTTGTTTTATTGCGTTAAATGTACTAGTCCTACTGTAGTTCTGCACAGCGCCACAAAATTTTATTTCCGAAATTTTTTTGCCGAACTAGTGTTGTATTTATAAGGTTTTGTGGATTTGCATTACCAAAATTGTGTCAATAGCATATATGAATATGTAAAAAGACAGCTTTAAATTTTTTCTAAAGACTAGCCCGTATGAAAAGGACACGGAAAATTTTAAGCCTTGATTAAATCCACAAATTTGTATTTTGTACAATGCATTTTATATGTTTAGTATCATGCTTACGCTTACTATATTTACTAGTATTATACTTCGTTATATGTGAGAAGTGCCAAACATGTCATCTGCAATCTCGAAAATTTAGATACGTATATGCAAATGTCAACCGATACGAAATTTCAATGTGAGTTAATGACAAATATGAAAATGGACATGCATTTCATGATAGACATTGTCAAAATATTATTGCAATCTTCAATCTATATCCAAGTATTTAATATCCTTTAATCTTGTTATTTATAAAAAATCATGAAATAATAAATTGCTATCAATATTATCAATATTATCAATATTATCAATATTATCAATATTATCAATATTATCAATATTATCAATATTATCAATACAGATTGTTTTGCTTGGATTAAGTTATTGATTAGTCCTAAAACTTTCAGACTTTGAACTGATTTCTTTAATATCAATAAGTTTAGAAGTATACATCATGTTATCATCTTTTTGTGAGATAATTGGCAATTCTTTGATTGATTTATCAGCTTCTAAAAATTGCTGTTTGATCTCTTCATCTGAAT